ATCTCACCATTTTTTTCGAGAGAAACAGAAAAGATGATAATCTGACAACTGATCAATGATAACTGTCAAAAAATTAATTTATTTGTCACTTGCGAACGGCAGCCACCTACGATTAACACGTAAGAATTTCATACGAATGTCGATATGCATTCAATCACATTTTGCCATTTTTCTCAAAAACATTACGTTTTGCCAAAAAAAAATCAAAAGACAAAACTTTCTAAATTGAATGTCCTTCCTTACGGGTTCATATTAAAAAAAAAAAAAAAAATACGCAACCAAAGTTTTGTGGCTCCAAAGACAAGGGGGCCTACTAAAAAGCGTCTTAAGGGGGTCCCCAGCCAAAAACCTTAACACTATCAGATTCCACATATCAAAAAACCCCTGTATACAGTGTTGCCGCGCTGAATTTCTAAAATGTACTGAGCGGAAGCAATAAAATGTACTAGATTGTACTAGATTTACAATAAAGTGCAACATTGCCGTTTTTCATAGAATGTACCTATTTTTTTGCACTGATGAAATTAAACAATTATGTTTTGCAAAGAATTATAATTTTTTTAGTAAAAAAATATAAAAATATAAAAAAACAAATAAACTATTATTTTATAAATAAATGTGCATAGTATAAAATAAATGCGAAAATAAACTAATATAAAAAAACAGAAAGCTCTAATAAATAATATATTATTTCGTATGTGTTTTATTAAAATAATTTTTAATTAATTTTTAAGTAATTCTACAGGAGGTTGCCACTCCCAACAAGTTGAATTTGTAATAACCCCTTTGGTTAAAAGTAAATTATGGCATGTTGCCGTTTCCAACAAATTTCGGTTTTTTCTTTTAATAAGGTTAAGGCCTGAAAATATTCTTTCAGCCGCAGCGCTGCCATGTGGTAAACACAATATATTTTTTAAAAAGAAATATAAATAAAAAAACATATTTTCATTTAAAGAGTTTTTTATCAGTCCCAGTTCGGTTACAAAAGTTTCTATATTCATATTTTTAAATTTTTCCAGCGGAATTTCGGAAAGCATCCGCCATTCTGAATTAATTTCTTCATATTTGTCCGCGCGAATTATATTAGGGAAATACTTTACAAGAGGAATTATCGAACAAACTTTTTTCTCAGAGAAAATATTTTGTGGAGGTCATTATCAAAAGGAAATCTTTGTTTTATTTGAAGAGCCAATTCAAAATTTAAACAGTTTATGCGAAAATTGTGTAATTCATTTTTATCTATTTGATTGTTTTCGATTATTGTCAGTACATTTACTCCAAAATATACACTTTCTAAAGGTAAAAAATTAATATGGATTTTGTCAATATCCGTACTGTTAACATAATTTAAATTCAAATAATTTTTTAAAATTTGTTTATATACAGAAGAAATTCGGGGAAGCAATTGATGTAAAAGGGGCTTTTCTGATTGGAACTCGATATTAATGCTGTTAATTATTTTGAGAATATAATATAAAAATGGTAGATACATTTTGTTATTTTATTATTAAGTGCCTTTAATATGTTGTTAATTTTTGCGGAGGATGCCTCATAAGCAGTTTCGGTAAAATATAAAGTAAGAGCATTGTATTGCTCTAAGACTCTATCCACAACTTGTTGTAGCGACAACCACCTTGTTTCTGAAAGTCTTAAAATTGTTTGAGGTTTTAGTTCATAAAAGACCTAAAACTCCTTTAAAGCATTATTTCTTTTAGAACTGTGCGAGAAGTGAGCATAAATATCTTTTATTAGTTCGTCTACTTCTTTTGATATTTTAGCACAAGCATAAGATGAGCATAAATTAAAAGAATGCGAGCTACATCCTACAACAACCAAGTTTGGCAACCTTTTTTTTAAAAGAGCTTGAACACCATTAAGATGTCCCATCATTGTAGCACAATTGTCCGCTGCAAAACCAACCATATGTTCTATGTTAAATTCTGATGAGGTAAGGTAATTTGTAAGACATTCATAGATTGAGGCAGCTGTGGAATTATTCTCAAGCTCAAGTAATCCTAAAAAGGCATCCACTGTCTTACTATTTTTAAAATACCTTACTAGAACTGCTAAACATTTTTTTGTAGATATATCAGTGGTTTCGTCGATAATAACTGAATAAAAATGTTCATTTAAATCAGCAACAATTTGTTTTTTAGCGTATGGACCAATGCATTCATTAATCAATTTTGTAGTTTTAGTTCTGTTACAAGTAATTCTGGCAGCAATTTCCGAATCTGGACAGATGGATTTGATAAATTTCGGTAAATGGTCCATGGTTTTAAAGGAAATATCATGCTCGGCTACAAAAGCCGCCAGTTTTAATTCTCCTTCTTTTATCAGTTTTTCATTCTTACACAGAGTTTTTTTTAGTTATGTTAGGTCTATATGAGGCTGTGCAGTTATAACCGCCTTTTTCATATTTTTCATAAGCAACTCATTTTTGTCGTGTCTCTTTAAATGGGACCGATTCCCTTTTATTTGCTTATTGCAAACTTTGCAATAAGGGTAACTATTGTCGGGGCATTTTTTACACCATTTAAATTCTGTCTCACAGATAGAACAATATTTTTGAGCATAACTGGGCTTCTTTCGCCGTTTTTCTGTCAATTGTTCATTTGATGAGGAGTACTCACTTGAGGTTTTGTTACCTTGGTCCAATACATTTGTCGATGTTGATGGCTGATTCTGCTGATCACCAGTAGAATTTTTTAACTTTTTTACATACCTTTAAATTAAAAGATTATTAGTATCTAGGAAAAAACAGCTGTATGGCGATTTAAAGCGTTATATTATAATATATGTTATTAGGGTGAGCCAAAAAAACTAACCTATTGGATTTATGGGTTAAAATGAACCTACATACCGAACAAAAAATTTCCCTGCAAGGCAAAATTTTTTGCTCAATTTTAAAAGGTGTCGGTGAGCATTTTAAGTTTTCCATTGAAATAACACGTAAAAAAATCTTTTTTCATTAAAAAGACTATAACTTTTGAACCGTTTGAGATAAAATTTTTTACGTCGCGGATTCTTGTAGAGCATAAAATTTCCCAAAGAATCTATACCAGGATTATTTTTTTTAATTCAAAAATTCGTATGTTTAAAAGCTTTGAAAAGTGTAAAAAAATCACTAAACCTAAACCCATAAATCCGATAGGTTAGTTTTTTTGGCTCACCCTAATATGTTATATATAAAATCATTACAAGGTAGTTTTGTGCTAAATAAATTTATTTGTTTATATGAATATTAATAAAAAATCAAGCGTTACAATAAAAAACGATTGTCCATGTTGGCTAAAATATTCCTTTTGTTTTATTTTACAATTTATTGTTATCACCTTGGAGAGCAAAATTCTCCTATTCAGAACTGTCCAGAACTGTTAGTCTGACTAACTTAGCCATGCGCATAACTCTAAAGTGATGTGTGTATTTCGTTATGCGCATGATTCTGGAACGTTCATTTTGTAAACCCGAACAAACCTAATGACTGGCAAGTTGCCACACAAAATTCGATTTCGCTACATTCGATGCTAGTCATTAGGTTTGTTCGGGTTGCACTGGCAACGCCGCACTTCTTATGTCAATTAAACTTGACGTAAGCAATGCGATGTTGCCGCACAAAATTTGATGTCGCGTTATTCAAAGTCAAAAATTGCCGGTGTCGTTTTTTCGGTAATTCTCCTTTATTTTTCACAATGTTAAAATGTACTAGACTAAGAGACATTTGTAAGAAAATGTACTTTTGTACGAGTTCTTCAAAATGTACTAGATTTAGTACAAATGTACTAGAACGGCAACTCTGCCTGTATACCAAATTTAGTGATTCTCGTACAACAGGGTTCTGTGATATAAGAAAAAGACTATTCTTATGGACTACTTTTAGGGGGCTGTATCTCCGAAAAAGGGGGCCCATTGGCAAAACTAAAAAATACGTGTCCCCTAAATTTCTCTCAAGAATCTGTGACCAAATTTTGTTGCATTAATTTCCGGACACCCTGTATATATATACACTAAACAATAACTTATACTTAAATGTAACTAAATTAACAGAATATTACAAGATAAAATTAATAAGAAATAAAATATAGTGTTCAATAATTTTAGAGATTAAGAAAATTAGTTTATTGTCCAAAAGGTCTTTAAATAAACAGTTCAAAATATTTATACATTTTATAAAATTTTAACGACAATATTATGATCGGTTTTCATTTTTATTTTTTTTATATTTTTTTTATTGGTGGTTTTTTAGATCAATTTCCATATGAACAAGTTTTTTGTTTAATTGTTGTACATACAATTTAGTTGTTTTTTTAAATTTTATGTTATTTTATTTCTGTCGGCAGAGTATTATAAATTTTAGGTCCATGGTAGGCAGGGTTGCCAGTTCTACTGATTTATCAGTAGAACTAGTAATTTGCTGATTGATCTACTGATCTACTGAAAAATGTTGTAATCTACTGAAAAATGTTGTAATCTACTGAAAAAAATATGACGTTTATTTATTATGGTTAAAAATAGTATTTATTTAATCACTTACATTTATCTTGCATTAAATTCCGAACACTCTATTTAAATAAATTTACAAGTACTATTTAAAATTCTAGCGCTTGATATGTTGGTAATACTGACCACGGGTCACGGGGAATCCCCGTCGGGGATTGCGGGAGAATTATGTCAAAGAGTAGAGGTTATGTGAAAGACCACGGGGACTTCCCATTTCATTTCCGTGTACAATAAATTCGGTCTGTTAAATTATAATAATTAATATTTTATTTTTAATTACATATTTATTTTTTGTATTGTGCAGTTGCAGAGATATGAGGTAAGTGCACTTTGATTATGTAATTTTAAATAGGTAACGTATTACGTTAACGTAACGGAAATTGAAGGTTCCGGTCCGTCAAAAAAAAAAAATTAAATATGATCAAGTATTTAAAAAAATCTGGATTGAAGAGGAGCAATTCAAAAAGTGGGTCAAACAAGGAAAAAATAAATACTCTGCTATGTGCCGCGTTTGTAATAAGGAGATTTCTGTTAAAAATACTGGAAGATTAGCATTAGTTCGGCATCAAGATAGTGCGATGCACATTAAGCAATGCAAATCTCAAAAAATGCAGGGTATATTAACAGATATGACGGTTTTTAAAAAGGGCCCAAATGAGCAAACCGCATTAAAAACTGCAGACTTACATCTCGCAGCTTTTGTTACTGAACATAATTTATCATATAATGTAATGGAGCATTTGCCAGCATTATTAACCAAACTGGTCCCCGACTCGGAAATAGCAAAGAAAATTAAATGTGGTCGCACTAAATGCTCTTCTGTGGTCAAGAATGTTATTGGAAAGAGGCATGAGGAGGAAATTTGTGAAAATTTAACAAACAATAAATTTTCATTAATTATTGATGAGTCCACGGACCGTTCATGCACAAAACATTTGTGCCTTGTTTGTAGATACCGTCACAATAATACGTAGGTTCACATGATAAAATAATTTGATAATTTTTAAATCTTAAACTCTTTTAGAATTCAAGACAGTTTCCTTGCGTTGCTGCCAATGAAAGATGCCAAAGCAGAAGATCTTTATAAAGAAGTACCCAACTTCTTTAACCGTAAGAACATTCAATTCCAACAGAATCTAATAGGATTCGCATCCGATGGGGCCAACGTTATGGTTGGAAAATACAATTCGGTGGTATCTAGATTAAAGGTAGATATACCAAATGTTTACGTGTTTAAGTGTATATGTCACAGTTTCCACCTATGTGCATCATATGCCTGTATGAAATTACCTAGGGGCATTGAAGATTTAGCACGTGATATATACACTTATTTCTCGAATAGCCCTAAAAGAATCGAAACTCTTTGCCCAAACACCAATACATAAAATGTTACATCCAGCCCAGACAAGATGGTTATCTTTAGAAGCTGTAGTATCTAGAATTTTAGAGCAATATAATGCCTTAATTTTATTTTTCACAGATGCCACTGTAACCGATCGCACTTTGGCACCAGAAAATATATTAACAAAGTTAAACGATCGCTTCACAAAGTTGTATTTTCAATTTTTAGAATTTTCTTTAGCCTTTTTTAGCACTCTTAATAGACAGATGCAATGTGAAAAACCGGTTATTCAGGATTTATACAAATCTGTTAGTACTGTTTATAAATCTTTTTTGAAATGTTTTATAAAAAGGGATGTACTCATAAAATCCCCACTTCATCAAATAAATTATAAAGATCCCAATAATTTTCTTCCCTTAGAAGAATTGTATTTGGGAGCGAAAATCATTGTCTCAATTGAGTCATTAAGTGACACAGAGAAATCTGCTTTTAGGAAAAGATGCCTAGAATTTTATATAGAGGCCGCCAAACAAATTAATCAGAGATTTGATTTTAATGATCCCATTTTAATTAATATGAACCTAATAGGCGCAAAAAATGTTTTGGAGAAAAAAGCTGACAGTATCATGCCACTTGCAAAACATTTTCCAAATTTGGTTTTGGAAGATGAATTGCAATTGGTAGATAATGAATGGAGATTACTTCGAAACACTGTTTTAGATTTTTCTTGTGATGTAGATGTAGAAAAGTTCTGGTCACATATTGAAAATATGCGATACAGCGATGGAACTTCGATGTTTCCAGTTTTAAGTAGATTTGGTTTTCATTTGTTAATGTTGCCTCATTCATCGGCGAATGTAGAAAGAATTTTTTCTGAGATAAATCTAATGAAAACTAATCAAAGGACCAAACTTTCAACAGCTACTATTGTGGGACATCTACACACAAAAATTTTTTTGAAGTCTAGAAATGCAAATTACACTAACGTTTCTTTTACAAAGGATGTAATAAAGTTACATAATAATGATATGTATAAACCAAAAAAGGATAATACTTTATCAGATTCAGAATAAATTATTTTTTTTATGCCCGTAAGAGTTTCTTTGTTGCGTTTCAGCTGTTTGTTACTTGTTTTTTATTTTTGTTGTTTGTTTGTACTACCTATTGTTCCTATTTATTTATTATCCGATAAGGATCTAACTTTTCGGAATTCGAAGGTACCTGTTTATTTTTGTTTTTTTTTTTATGAAAATGTTTAGGTTATAATCGAGGTTATAACACATTTTTTGTTACCCTTTGTTACTTTTTTTTATTTCTAATTAAATACATATTTTATTACCCTTTTTTGAAATTTGTAGAGCAAAAAATAAGTCTACTGAAATCTACTGAATTTTGACTACATATTTACTGATGGAATGAAAACCGAACTGGCAACCCTGATGGTAGGTATAACATCTCTGACCAGTTGTCTTAGCTGTTTTTGGAATAGGTAAATTTAATCTGTAATTTACGACGAACACCTGTGCAAGAAATGTGCTGTGCTGTGCACCGATAAGAACCCTTTAGATTAAGTTATGCTAGTTTCTATTCGTTCTTCTCTTGCTTGTTATTTGTAACGTTTATTGTAAAACTTAAGTAAAATTAAATTGTAAAAAATAAATATTAAAAAAAAAAACGATTTTTGTGTTCGTAAAACGTAACTGGCGCAGTCGGTAGGATTCGTCGAAGCGTAAAAAGAAGAAAAAATCGCGTGTTCTATTAAGGACTTTATCGACGAATCCGTGAACTTTATAAAAAAACTTTGTGCGTTACATCAGTGACCCAGGAGTGCGAGCTTGTGGACGACACCCAATTTCGTCAAATTGGCTGGACACTGAACACTTGAGTTGAATCACCGAACTTCTTTTTCAATAAATCGAAGTTGCGAGGTTTCGAAGACATCGAGGACAAAATCGCCAGAGATGCTTCAGAGCCTTATATTGTAAGTCGAAGATATATTTTTTATTTTACGCCATTATAGGATTCATATGTTTGCTCTAGAATTTGACTAATGGTTGTTATTTCTATTTTCTTTAACGAAAAGTAAAATATTTTATTGTAAACAAAATATCTATTTTTGATATAACATTTTTAATAAGTAGCTAAGTAATAAAATAAGTTTTCAATATAAATAATTTAATAGAAAACTTTAACAGACTTAATATTGAAATGGCAAATCCCCCAGCATTTGAAAATCACCACCTTAAAGCGGTACCAGAGTTTAGTGGAGATACTCACGCTTTAAGTCGGTATGTCAATAGCTGCGAGCTTTTAATTTCTAATTTTTATAATAATATTAACGTAAATTGTTACCAAAATAAATTGCTTTTAAGTTGTTTAATAGAAAAACTAAAAGGAAATGCTAGATTAGTTGTAGAAACCCAGCCTGTCGAAACGTGGGTTCAACTTAAAGACATTTTGGTTAGAAATTTTGCAGACGTTAGGAACGAAGAAAATTTAATTATAGATTTAACTAATATGAGGCAAAAGCCGAGCGAAACAGCACAGGTTTTCTACGAGCGCTGTTTAGCTCAGCTTGCCGCGATGAACAACAGGGCAACGCTTCACGAAATCCCTGCTGTACGTCAAGTAAAAATCCCCCAGTATACTAGTTTAACTTTAAGCATATTTTTAAACGGATTATTAGAACCGTTAAGAACTAATATCTTAAATATGAGGCCTGCCACTCTGGCAGATGCCATTCAATTTATTCGCGAACGAGAAAATAATAACGCCATATTTAATAGACATAGAAACTTCCCCAATAATAATAATAATAAACAAAATAATTCCAATAAAAGACAACATGTTGCTCAACCACAATTTTTTAATAATACACCTTTTAATAATAATAACAACTATAATTCACAATTTAGAAACTTTTCCAATAATAATAATTACCAACCCCATAGATTCCAACAAAATCAACAATTTTCTAGGCCCCAAAATCAGAAACCCGATGAAACAAATGTTTTTGCCCCAAAACCTTCAGTTCAACCACCTAAACCTACCCCTATGAGCATCAGTACACGCAACACATTTAATCAGTCCAACAGAAATACAAACAATAGACATTTTAATAATAATTATAGACCAAACAATCGAAATTGGATCGCGGAAGAACTTTTTAACGGCGATGACCAAAACCAACCCCAAAATAGTGACTATACTTTAGAAAATAATAACGAAAATGACGACTACCAATGACTCCTCCGACTATGACCAATTTTTAGAACTCCCTACGGATTTTCCCGATCCGACGGACACAGAAAACCAAACATAATAGAATTTCATAATGTTAATCACGCTAAATTACCCTTCATAATTATCCCAGATTTAAATATTAAATTATTAATTGATTCAGGCTCATCAAACTCATTTTTAAAACCTTCCTTGGCATCAAAATATTTTTCAAAATTCATAAAAAAGGACCCTATTGTTATAACTTCATTACACCAAAATAATACTATTCCCCATTCTATTACAATTCCTGCTTTTTCCATATTTGATGTTCCCTATCCTTTAGATTTAAAATTTCACCTTTTAGAATTTCATACTTATTTCGATGGAATTATAGGTCTAGATTCTTTAATTCTATTAAAAGCAAATTGCCATTAAATATATGCGTTCTAGAAAACCACCTATTTGTTCGATCACAATACTCCCTAGAGTCAAAACAATTGTAAAAATTCCGGTATCTATATCAAATCATGATATAAACATTCCGTATCAAAAACTTAACGGGTGCGAAATACCCGAATCTCTGACAACATCTAAAGATAACTTTGCGTTAACTTCAATAATTAACCCAACCGAAACTCCAGTAGTTATTACTTTTACCGATCCCATTAAAGTTTTAAAATATGACGAAAAAAGTACCTTTGAATGTTTTAATCTTGAATATAATTTAGTTAGAAACAAAAAGAAATTAACCAAACCCAAATTTGATTTTTCTTTACTAAGAACCGAACATTTAAACCCAGAAGAATATAATGCCCTAACAAATTTAATTAAAGAATATTCAGACACGTTCTATACCGACGGAAAAGACTTAACATTTACCAATCAAATTAAACATGCTATTAAAACTAAAGACGAAACCTCCGTATATACTAAAACCTACCGTTATCCATTTATTCATAAAGCCGAAGTTAGAAAACAAATAAATAAAATGCTTGAACAGAAAATTATCCAACCCTCCAATTCCCCTTGGTCCTCTCCTATATGGGTTGTACCGAAAAAATTAGACGCTACTTTTACTTATCCCTCTTACAAATTTAAAAAATGCACAAATATTTTAATTGACGTGACAGACTCTCAAGAACAAGACAATATTATTCATAATTATCACGAAGGAAAAAATAATCATAGAGGAATAGACGAAACTGAAAGAAATCTTAAAACTACTTATTATTGGCCAAATATGCGTAAATCAATTCAAAATTTTATAAACTCATGCGACCTTTGCAAATTAACTAAATACGAACGTAATCCGCTAAAAATAGAATTTAACGTAACACCCACTCCTTCGAAACCCTTTGAAATAATTCATATCGACACATTTACTATAGGTAATGGTAAGTTTCTTACGGTCATTGACTCATTCTCAAAATTAGCCCAAGCCTACCCAATAAATTCCGCAAACGCATCAGAAATTGTCGAAAAACTCTTAGAATATTTTAATCACTACGGACTTCCTACACTAATCATATCGGACAATGGTCGAGAATTTAAAAACACTTTGGTTACTGAATTACTTAAATTACACAAAATTAAAATACATTTTGGATCAGCCGAACACTCAGAATCTAATAGCCCAGTCGAACGTTTACATTCGACCCTTATTGAACATCTGCGTTTAATAAACTCTCAATTTCAAAATTTAACAATTAATAATAAAATGCCAATAGAAATTGTTACCGGTCATTTTAATAATAAAACTCTTTTTGAACTTGACATTGAAACTAAATTGTTAAACATTTATACACAGGAACATCGGGACCGTATTAAGAAAATTTATAGTATACTACATGAACAATTATTAGAAAATAAATCAAAAGTAATCTCTAAAGCAAACGAAAATCGCGAACTTTTCCTACCTGAAGTTAATGATAATGTTCTTATTAAAAGTAAACAAAGAATTAGTAAATTAAAAAATAAATACACCCCTCAAACTATTACAAACGTAAACCCGGATACAAAAAGTTTTGAAACCAGTCAAAAGGTTAAAAAACATTTTAGCGCGATTCGACGCCCTCCTGTTAATATTAACCCTAATCCTAACCCATTGTTACAGAATAACCCTGACACTGACCCTCAACCTTCGACAAGTAAGGACACAGGACATCCATCTTGACTAAAACTTTAGATAATAATCCAGGCTTACTTCCAATTTTAATCGGAGACTCACTTATAATCGATTTCTACCTGAAAATTATATTTTTTAAAGACTTACAACCCCTTGAAGATGAAATAAAATGGTTAAATAAACAATATGCAACCTTTAAATTAAATCTGGATTATTTTAAAAACTCTTTGCTTTGATTCAGAATTACACAATTATGAAAAAATACTTGAACACTCTTTAATAGAATTAAATTTAAGATTTTACACCTTACTTCCACAAAATAAAATTAAAAGAGGACTTATTGATGGTGTTGGCTCGGTTTTAAAAGTTATTACCGGAAATCTTGATGCCGAAGACGGTCGTAGGTATGACGAAGCTATAAAAATCCTGCAAACTAATCAAAACAATATTAAAACACAATTTGATCAACAAATTTCGTTACCTAAAAGACTTGTAGAAAAATTTAATAATACCATATTTTCAGTTAAAACAAATCAAGCCCTTTTGGAAAATAAAATTAACAGCTTAGTTTATTATGAAGCTACTATTCAAAACTATAATTATATTAAATTTATTATATTTGAAATTGAAGACGCCATAACATTCTCTAAATTAGAAACACTTCACCCCTCAATAATACAACCTCAAGATTTATTAAAAGAATTGAGACTTCTAAATAAAAATATA